GGGAATACTTTTTACAGCACTGTTACGCTTAACTGCCTAGAATAATACGTAAGTACTTAGCTTTAATAAGCCTATAACTATAAATGCATCTTAATCATTTTTACAACATTTATATTTTTTGCAAGTTTTATTATTTTATTTGCTCCTCTTATTATCGTATCTTAGGTTTAGTTTTTTTTTTACTTAATGTGGAAGATGATAGTGTAGTGAGTTGTTTTTAGTTTCTACATACTAATTTTATAGGAAATTGTGACAAACTATAGTTGCTTAATAAAACACAAAATATGTACATACAATTTTAAATGTTTTTGAATAAAAGGGCATGGAATTCAATAAGTGTTTTTCGGCTTAAAATCTGGTCAAATAAACTGTTAAACTATTAGACCATTACTAACGATTTTTTATGGATCCCCAATGCATTTTTAGGGGTTTTTGTAGGACCTATTTAAAATGGTTTATATTAAAAATTTACTAGATAAACAATTAGGTATTATTACAAAAAGACTTCTAAAGAACAGAGTGTTCCGATCGAAAATTATTGATTTAAAAAAATTCGATATAGCATTTCTAAAAAAATGTATATTTTTTCCCTATACAAAATAAATGGCATTCTTTGGGCGCTTTGAGCGACGTCTACATTTTTTTCCTTTATAATACGATCAACTCCAAGCTTGTGGATTCACCCGCGCGGTGGTGAATTTTGATTTATCGCTATGTGACATTCTCAAAGAGCTGCCACTCTCATTGCTCTCAATAGTCTGTTCCAGTACCCATCAGATTGAAAGCAATTACTGAGAAGTCGTTCTTGTACATACACTGTGCCAAAAGTACAATGGTTTTTTCAACCAAGTTATTGTTTGGTTTTTTCATGGCTAATACACCGATTGTTAGAAATGTGATTCAAGTTGAACATTTGAAAACCAATTTGTATGCCTGGCTGTAGTTGAACGTGCAGTTGAACGTAAGAACTAATCTATCGAGGACAATTTGCCTTTAATTAAGGAATATATTTGGGTCTTACGCATTTGGGACACACCATCCTTATGAGAACGGAAGGTTTGATCACAGTGTCATATGGTCCGCTTTGCGGTATTTTGCAGACATCTACGATATCTAGTTAGACCAGCGCGATAAGCTGAGAGAGCTTTTACTCTGCACGCACCTTGAGGCTCACAAATGTTGTTATGCATACGCACACTGATAGAGCACGAAAAGAGCACTTAATTTTATGACCTGCACTTTTAAGCTGAAAAATCCGTTAAATGCAGTAACTAAGCCTTTAAATACTGTCATAGAGAGTATGGATCAAAATTATGTATATAATTGCATCAATCATATTAAATTGCTTACGAAAATGCAATCAAAATTTATTAAAAAGTAGGCATTACAATATAGTACATTAAATGCATCATAGTATACATACATAAATGTTCACATAATTTTATATAATAAAACAAAAAAAAAAATTGTCAATTGCAATCATTATACTAGCCAACAAGAACAGGAATTTTATGCATTATTCATTTATTTACTTAATTTTTTTTTTATTTTTGTTGTATTCCAGTCAGGGCATTTTTTTTTTAATGAGACTCTGCTCCTATTTTTATATGAAAAAATTGCGAAAGATTGTCAGAAAAAAATTTGTCAGAAATCAACCTAAGTTGTAGTTACTTCCAATTTTCACTTTATTGAATTGAATGGGCTACAGAACTACATACTCAAATTCTGAGTTGGAAATTCGAATGAATTCTTTTTGTTTCATTTTCTACAAAGTTCAAAAAAATGCGTATATATAGTTTTTTTGTTATAGCTGAACGATATACAAATATTTTAATTGAAAAAAAAATTTTGGAAAAAAAAGAAAGCTAAAAATCATTGTCCCTATACAAGTGCATGGGAGTGTATATGTTAGTTTGTTTCGAGTATGTATTCACATTTTACTTATTTATTTAAGTTTCGCATTATTTTCGCAATTGCAAGAATTTTGCACTCATTAATTTGTTAATAGATACTTACGCTACGACAATTTTTGCATAAAATAATTAAAAATTTTTAATGATCAGTCATTTCAATGCAATTAATTGCAGTTTTCATTTAACCTAAATGTTTATTGGTTTGATTGTGTATGTATGTATGTATGTATGTTTGTATGTATGCATGTATGCATGTAAATATGTATGCTTTTTTGTATTGTTTCGAAATGCATTACCATTGTTGAGTTAACTTGTTTATTTATAAATGTATGCGCGTGTGTAGTTATGCGGAATCTAGACTCATCGATGCGTATATGCATTCATGCACATGCGCATGTGTGTATGTGTGCACGTGAGCCATAACAATAACCATTTATTTCTGTCATTTGTTATATATAATCAAATATCCAGCAAATTTATGCAATGTCTGCAAGGATTTTTAATAAATGCACTCAATGTCACACACACACACACACACAGGCACGCGCCTATAAGTCTATGCATTCAGAATTTACGTTAAATGTTGCCTAGTGTAAGGCGCACACACTGAGCTACCTTAATATGTATATGAAGCGTTCCATGCCAAAACCGACGGGGTTCACACTTCATGTGTTTGTGTTTCAAACTTTTAGGGTTGATGCATAAATATAAATAATAAATAAATATGAAATGGGGCGAGGAAAAAATTTGAAAAAAAAAATCACACATACACATATAAAAATTCTCTATGAAAATTAATACTTTTAAAATTTTTTTTCTTGACAAAATTTACACATACAAATTTATTGGTAAAAAAAATTGTTTTTGAAAATATGCCATCTCACAAAAAAAAAGATTAAAAAAATCACAACGGTAGCTCTGAGTATTGCGCAATTTTTAAGTGTAGTATTATGGGATTCACTCTACAAAAATTATAATTTGAGTTAGGAATTTTTTTTACACCGAAGTTGAATAAAATGAGTATGTATGTACATTACAAATTTAATATTTTTTTATTTTTTTTTTAGAATTTTCAGAATTTTTTGAGTACGCAGTCTTGTAGCCCATTAAATTTTAGTATTATAAAGTGCAAGTCTTAAGCGAGTGCAAAGCCGGCCTTTTTTTAATTTTCTTTGCAAACGGTTTTGCGCATTTTCTTCCATAAGAAAAAAGTGCAAAAAGCCGTCAGCATAAAAAATATTAAAAATCACCGCAATTTTGCAGTAGCTTGAAACTTTCACTTCGTTATGCTAAAATTTAATGGGCTGCATATTAAAAAAAATAAAAAAGTAAAAATTTAAAATTTTTTTAATTTGTAATGTACTAAATTTACTCAACTTTGGTGTAAAAAAATTCATAACTCAACTTAGTGTGGAGTGCTCAAAATAATACTATACTTAAATATTGTGCAATACTCAGAGCTACTATTGTGTTTTTGTAAGTATTTTTTGAGATTACTAATTTTCAAAACTATTTTTTTTTTACCAAAAAAAAATTTATATTTATCAAGCTCAAATTTCTAATTTATTTATTATTTATGTTTATGCATCAACCCGAAAAATTTGATACAAATCAAACACATGAAGTGTGAACCCCGTCCGTTTTGGTATGGAACGCCCCATATGCAGTGCAGTTTTCTTTTTACTCACGTGCGTATGCAAGTTTTATTTCGTAATACACACACACTTACAAACATGCATACATATTCACGGGTGTTTATGTGTTTGTATTTTGCATACACCTTATTGTTTTTATGTATATAATGTTTTTGTTTTCGCCTTTTTTGTAGTTGCCCTTCAGCTTCCTTATATCCGCTTTTAGTTGCTATCTCAACGCTCCCAAGCTGGCAGCTTTACGTAAAATTGAATTATTACATACGATTTTATGATTTAGGTTTTAATTCTTTTCAGTTTGTAGTTTTTTAAATTAATTTAGCTCAATTTTATTTTGTTTATTTCTACGTTCATTCTTGATTTAATAGATTATATCTACCATTACTAACTAAGCCTTAAATGTAATCGCCTACAATGTGTGCGCATGTAGTAAGCACATACATTTGCATGTATGTATGTATGTTTATATGTATGCGTGTATGTCAATATTTTATTGTGTTTTCGAGTTTCATCATTCGTTTTTAAAGTGTGTGAGCTGTTAGTAAAATAATTTTGCGATTGTAGTTAGCTATTGCATACTTTTGTAGTCTTGGCAATAGCATTCAATTTTCTGGCCATACATGTACTTGTATGTGTGTGTAGTACAAAAATGCTTTTGCTTAATTAAAAATATCATATCAAATCTAATTCAAATTCTATTTATTTTCAGTGCTTTTAAAGTGTTGGTTGTCTTGTCAACGAATTGTGTACCATTCCAAGTGAAATTTAATGGAAGATAGAGCAGCGCAGTTTCTGTCGCTATTAAGTTTAATAAATGTGATTGAAAGTTTGATTTCCAAGCACAAAATTTTTTAAAATTTTTGCACAGAAAATATGATTTTTTTTTGAAATTTGAATTTTAGAAATTTAAATAAGTATTTAGATTAAGTTTTTAGGGGAATGATGTAATCGGACATTCACGGCACTTTTTCTCACTCGACGATTTTTAGTAATAGCTGGACTCCAGCGCTAACTGACGGCTATTTTTTTCAAGAGTATTGCCGTTACCGTTACCAATGCACATCTCAAATATGAGCCAAATCGGGTCTTAAATACGATTTTTAGTAATAACTCGACTCAGAGCAAGTTGGCGGAAATCTTTCCCTTTACGATATTAAGCTAAATCAGATAATAAATAATGTTTTTAGTAATAAATCGAAATTGTGAACCTAAACTATCCAAAGATCCACTCAAACGCACACAAACAATTTCGTTAAAATAGGTCAAGCCATTTGTGAGGAATTCACCGCCGAAGACAGGTACAGAAGAATTATATATAAATTTTGATATATATGAAGACGTCTTAACCGACTCCAATCGGGACCAAAATTTGTATGTGGTACCTGTGACCGTGGCATTACGGATTGAGATGGTGAGACTGAAAAAAATCGCTCATTTTATTTTAAGGCCAACCCTAATATACATACAAAGATAGATACAAGTATGTTTAGGCGCCAAGCCCCCGTTTCAAATAGCCCCACTTTGCTACTTGAGTATGGTATTGATTTAACATATCTCCAATCCAAGTTCAGTAATCTATGTAAGCAAAATTCGGTTTGCATGGGGAGTGCCACGCCCCCTTTATGTATCGAAATTTGTTTAGCCTAAGACCATCCTTGTAATATTTATATGCTTGTGCAAATGCGGCATGTGAGGTTAATCTCCCAGATATTGTCATGTGGTCCCTCTAAATCAAAGCGGCTATATGACTGAACCCGCTAAGTAGGTGGTCATCAATCAATTGACTGCGCGACCGCACCCCTGCTCTCAAGTGAAGGGAGAAAACGAGAAGATGTATGTAGAAAATGTGATTTCATTTAGGCATACATGGATGGCTAAAAGGTCGATGGAAGTAGTGCTGGTGGTGTATATTCTAAGCATCTGAGAGTCTTCCAGGTCACTGCAGTTCCTTTCCTGGCAATCGACATGGTAAAGTGCGATGCAATTTAGGAAGATAATATTTCCGCTTTCGCTCGTAGCTAGGTAGATATGAAATCCCTCTCCCGTCCTCTGAATTCCATGCCATCGCGACATAGAGAGGAATTGTAATGCCGACGAAGATATGCAATGAAACGGACGTATCCTTATAATTCTGGGAACTCTTTATCGTCGCAAAAGTTATGAAACTATGAGTTTATAAAAACCACCAAATGATCCCGAAGACTTGCAGAACCTTCAACATGCCTCTTTGTGAATGAGTGAAGTGTGAATGACAAGAAGTGGTAACCCTGTGATGATTTCCAGAATTTCTTTAGTAGTGAAAGTGTAGGTTTGGTAGCCAAAAAATTTTATCGCTTAAGTAAATTAAAACTTCATTCATGAACAAGAGAACTAACAATCGCTTTAAAACTACAAAAGTATGCTCACACCGCCGCTTGCAAAAGCCAGATCGCTCGACTAAATGAAAGTCAATTTCTGTGTGCGTGTTTTTGTAAGTATGTATATATAAAATTCTTCCTTTCTTTATGAATGAGTGTATTCTGTTGGCTAAGCATACTCACTAGAAGACTTATGCTAATCCTAATACGTTTATGTATGTATGTACGTAGGTATTTATTCTTTGACTTATGTTAGTTAAGACATACATATATTTAAGTTTCACTCTTATTGTAATACACATACCTACATACACACTATGTTTCTTAATTACATACATACACATATATGTATATCTACATAGATGTTGTTGCTGTTATTTTACTCACTTTCACGCTTACCTCTCTCTACACCAATTGTAATTCTCGTCGTTTTTATATGTAGCTAATGCTAATGTTTTTACGTAGTCATGTTCTTAAGTATATATGTATATACTAAATACATATGTGTGTATGTAATTTATGTATATGTTTTTATATTTATTTGGCATAGGGATGATTTACATCGGGATTTCGCATCAGCGTACTATTCTGGCTGCCCGGCATTGATGTGGCATTTTGATCATGATTGCTCAGTATTTTCTCCGTTTCTTGCCGGCTGTTGGCCATTATGCGGCGTATTGTTGGTGCGCAGGGTGTACGTCATAGCCGCGATTCCTGCGCATGCTCATGTCAAACTTGACTGTGCGCATTCATGTGCATTGTTTCGGCCTCGGTGGCGGCACTCAATTGTCCGGCTGGATAATACTGCAAAGAGGCACAATTGAGGTACTGTTTGAGCGTTAATACGGGGTTGTTAACAAGTTTTTGCAATAATATTTAAAGAAGTACATACGTAATGGCGATTTAAAAATATGATAATTTAAGCTTAAGCAGGGCAACTCTGACAACTGTCTTTCAATTGACATCAGTCGTCTGTCAAAAGTCTTTCGTAAGATAATTGGTAATAATGGCAGCTATATTGAAAATTCTTATCTATCTTTCGAAAGACTAATTTAAAGATCTGGTAAATTATAAAACAAAAAAAATTAATTAAAATAATTTTCTAAACATTAAGGGCCATTTTCTCAAGTAGGTTTTAAAATTTATCTGCCCTTAAACACAAATTTTATTCTGAAAAAATATGTTAGTACGTCAGGTAAATTTTAAAGCCTACTTAAGAAAAGGGCTCGAAAAAATATAAAAAATTGCTTCATTTTAAAATAAAATCTAAAAATTAAATTAAAAATGGGAAATTTTAATTAAATGAAAAAAAAACATTTTATTTTTAACACAATAAAAATGAAAATAAATTAAAAAAAGAAAAATAGCTGAATTGAAAATAGGAGGTATAAAAACTGAATAAAGTTCAAAATAATTCTGACAAATTAATTAATAATTCCAGTTTTTTTATTTTTTAATGAAATAATGAAAAAATCAAGCTTTAGCACAAGAAAAATTAAAAAAATAACAGGCTTGTCCTAAAGCCTGTTCTGTTACAAAAAAAAAAAAAAAATGAAGTTGCTGATGAAGAAAATCGATGGGTAAATAAAGAAGTAATGAGTGGTCAAATGAAAATGGTCAAAGACTTTTTGTAGGAGATATGAGCAGAGAAGCGTGTTACTCAGGTGTACTTGGCGTATGAGTAACTTTCTTTCCTGCTCGTTTTTCATACAACAAACCTTTGCGTATTTCCAAGGGACCACCCATTATTTCTTAACTTATCCATCGATTTTCTTCATCAGTAACTTTTTTTTTAACAGAGCAGGATTTAGCACAAATGCAAAAATTTGTTATTTTTTAAATTTTTCTTACGTCAAAGTTTGATCTCTTTCATTTTTTACTGTCCAAAGATTTTAGTTTCTTCATGGGGTTGGCCACACTTTTTTTTAAGACCTAATATGTCAGGACTAGCATTAAGTTTTGACTCTCATTAATTTAAAGTGAAAACTACGTAGTTTTTTTTAATTTTTTTGAGAATTTCCTAAATTTTTTGGGGAGTTTTCGTGACTTCTGAGGATTCCTAGTGCTTTATTATTCGGTGTTTTTGTACCATTTATGTACATTTATTTCAAAATACTTATACATATGTAAATATTTTCTCAGGTCTTTTTGGAACCAGTTTTTTTCGCTATCCTTTTATCGGCTTCGATTTTCTGATGGTTTCTTCGAGACTTATTTTTCCCAAACTTTCGGAATGTTTGAGATTTTTTCGAAATTTTACGATAGTTTGGGATCCAAAGCATCTCCAAATCCGATTCTGATTGATTTGTCGGCGCTTGGTTTATTTTTCGTAAATGGTTTGGGATATTTTCTGATTCTAAACTCATCAGTATTTTTTCTTGGACGTAAAGAAATTTAACATGGAATCAGGGCTTATATATGGCCTTCTGAGGTTTTCTCCGACCATTTTTGGAACTAATTTACCTATCGATACTTTTTATTGAAGGGTTGTAGGAAAATTTTAGATTTTTATTGCCTTGTTTTCTAGTATCTCTGAGTTTTTTTTCGGATATTTTTGGCACTATTCGGAAATTTTTCTTGAGGTTTCCCGATAATTTTAGGTTCAAAGTACTTTTAAACCTTAACGTTGATTTTTTTCAAAACTTTCCGAATTTTTCCCGGTTTTTTTCAATACTTTGGAGTTACCTTCTTTTCATGGCCTTTTGGTGGTTTTGTAGGGATAATTTGGAATTATTCGTTTGCTAGTTTTGGGACATTTTGGGTATTTTCGCAACTTTATCAGAACTTTTCGTAATATTTTTGGGAGTGAGTGCACTTTTTTCCGATCTCAAAAAACCGAAGTTTGGCTATATTTAAAAACCTAATCCACCTTCTTATATATTGATTTAATTTTTAGACTTAGCAGAAATCTTACGTTATAATTCATATAAAACGTCTGTCAGCAGTCTGATTTGAAATTCTAGACTGTCTTGAAAAAAGAATATTGATATTTTTTTGTTTTGAAATAACTTTTATCATTGTATCCACTATCCTTGTTGGACTTCGCGTATACAAAATACGGAAGCGAGTGCTATCATAAACCTTTGCATTGAATTTAACTTTTTACAATCGAAAATCGCAAATTGGCTCAGTTAATACAGAGCTTTCGAAAGGTAATAAGTTTTGACGCTTCCATTTCTATTTATAAAATTTTCCGTTTTAAATTTCACTTTCAATGAATTTCCCTAAATGCACAATCAAATCAAATTCACCTACTTCTAAATTTTAGTGCACTTCGTCTACGTTCTACATGGCGTATGAGCAATCAGGAAGCAATCAGCACCAACTACAGCCACCGAAAGCTGTTACTTGTATAAAACATATGTATGTATGTATTAAAACAAGCCACTAAATACATATATTATTACCAAATACCTGCTCTAACATGTAATTAGAACACAAACATTCAACGAAAAGTGTTCGCTATGAATGATGTAAGTACTATGTACAATTTGTATGCACACTGTTGCATTACCAACAATATTTGCATGTGTGTGTATGAGTGTGTAACTAAACATGTGTGCAATATAAGGCAAATGTGGTAAAGTGTAAACGGCATAGGATGAGTAACCACTACACAGAACTGATAGGCACATACTTGCATACATACATATGTATGTATATATAAGTAAGCTCATACAAACCTAGTACGTATGTACATAGGTACTATACGTCTGTATGTATACAGCCATGTCAGCAGCCATCGGTGACTGCTAGTCAACTTATTAGTAAGTAATGTTGGCACTAGGACTACAATCTGTTCTGCTTGTTTACCGAATGGTGCAAATTCATATTAATTTCAGTAACAGAAAACAGTTTGCTTTCTAAGCGATAGGTACATAAGACCTTAAACTTATATATATATGTTTGCCCACCTACCCGGTCCTTGTACCCTAAATGCGTGTGGCTGTGTGTGGAATTTTGAGGCTCGCTGTTGCTTACTTGTCTTAGCAACATTCGCTGACCACTGCTGACGCTGCTCAACCATATACCGAATACATACATATGTATGTATACTATAGTAGAGCAACGTGGTCACCAAGCGCGACAGATATGCCCGTGTCAGTCATTAGTTGAAAGCTGTGTGTAGCCATTGCAGTAGCAGACGTGTTCGCTGTTTGTGTGCGCCACTAAGTAAGGCTTATTTTAATGAACGCGATGATTATTCAGCCATGCGAAGTACGAAAGCAAACAGGCGCACCCGGGTTACAAGTGCAAACACACACACACACACACACATATGCGGCTAGGCTGCACTGAAGCATTTAGGCGTAAATTTGAAGCAGGCTTACACAAGTATATTGGGTCATGTGAAAAGGATCTGCGAATTTTCGTCACTATCTTGTGTTGAAGCTCCTACATCTGGTGGTGCGTTTAAAACGTCTTTTCATGAAAAGTTTCGAACCAAAATCGTCCTTAAACTAGTCCTGAAATATTCCTTGAATTGTCCCCAAATGATATCGAACAAGTGCCGAAAAGTATCTGAAGTAGTCTCAAAAATTGTCCGAAACTAGGCCGAAAATTGTCTTCAAATAGCCTTGAACAGATTCCGCATTTGTACTGAAGAAGTACTGAAGAAGTACTACAACGTTGCAATTATGAAGCTACATGAAAAATGCAAAAAGCTCATTCATAATAATAATGGCCCAAAATGGCATCGATTTTAATACCGAATTTGTTTTCTTCAAAATTTACCCAAAAATTTGCCCCAAAGATTATGACCCAATATAAGAACATGGATGGTTATGTGTTGGACTGACTGCGGCTGGCTTAGGCTTTGCTCCTTTAACCATCGCACTATCCAAGCTGCCATTGCCATGCTACCACCACCACCATACCCACTATTGAGTTTAACGTAAGCTTGTGTGCTTGTGTGTGTGAGTGTGAGTGCACCTAAATAAATGCCTAATGCATAGGCCAGCTCACTCCTCCACTTGGTTGTTGATTTGCTTGTTTATATTTGTCAGTTGCTCATCTGCCTAACAGCCATATCGCATACATACATACATATATATACGTATGCAAACTTAGACATTAGACGGTCGGCAAGCCACAGCAGGCAGTTGAGCAGGCACGAGTAAACACCGTGCCGCTGTAGGCCGGCTATAGGCATCAATGAACAGAGAGTTTCGTATTTGGCTCTCCCCCATGGCGACTGATTAAATGCCAAATGCTTTGTACCTTTGTGTCTGCGCATGTGTGCATGTGTATGATTGCGCTTATTAAGCTCGCCAGTTGAACGCACAAATAACGTTAATGCATTCATTGCTACAAAGTATGTGCACAGTATATATGTAAATAGATTGATTTTGCATTGCTTGTTGTTGCTGTCTTATCAGCGTGATAGCGAAGGTCTCCAAATGGCAATCATATATGTAAGTGTACTGAATATCAGATTTGTTGCATTACATGTATGTATGTATGTATCTCTGACTTCACCTGTTCATGTTCGACTGCCAGTCATAGTTTAAATACAGAGATACTGTTGCAGCGTTACTATTACAATATAACTGCTTAAACTGCTAGATTAGTTAGATTTGCCTGTAGAAGTGTACCAATGTATGTATGTAATTGTGCTCACTTGTCTACGAACTATTGGTTTGAATGTCTGCGAACTCAACTGGGTAATTGGAAAGTTTCAAACCACATCAGCCAATAGTGAAGGAGTAACACGACTGTGCTAAATATAATCTTGCTGCATATAAGAGAAGAACTGATATGATCATTAGTAAATATACTTCCATCTAAGAGTTTTTCAGTGTATTCTCAGTATACGTTTTTTTGGTCGAAGTTGGTGGCACACTTATCTTAGAAAATGAATTGTTTTAAGTTTTGTATAAAGAACAAGATTTCAACGCAAAATTGTATTTAAATGAAAACTTAAAAAAGACATACTAAAAAAAGTAAAAATAACCACTGGTGATCATGTACCCGTAGTTGCGTATGTAACCTATTCGCACGTTTGCTCGCACGCCTTAACTTCAAAGTAAAATTGTTTAAGAGTAACTAAAAATTGGCGGGAAGATTTTTACACAGTAATGCACATATATATTACCTTCTTCATGTATATAACAATTTTATAATGAATTTCGAGTGTGCCAATGAAGTTTGTAAAAATGGAATTTTAGTTCCTCAAATCCTAGTCCCCTTTTACTCAATTTAAGTTTTTTTCCTTTGATGACACACTAGTCTTAGTTTAGTGGTTAAACCTTACCCAAGCCGATCGTAAAACTTCCAACGCAATTTTAGCTTATGTGCCTGTGAGAGATCTGAGTACTTGTGTCTTTTCAAAGCCACTGGAAGTACGCCATCATTACCTTTCAAGTTAATGTTGAGTTCCCCGAGACTGAGCGCTTGTTTAATACCTGCACTGAGCCCGGACTTACACGTTGTCGAATCTTCACTGATGTCTCCAAAACTGACTCTGGGTCAGGATCCGAGGTCTCTTGATCGCAGTTAATGGGAATATGTTTTACTTCTATTTTAGGGAGTATGCTTTGGTCTTCCAGGCTGAGGTATTTGCAATCCTCAAGGCCATGGACTACGTGGTAGAAAATAGGTGGAGGGGAAGGAGTTTACGTTTATTTAAAAATTACATTTTTATTTTTTCTCTCTGACGCCAGGATTTATTTTAAACGACTTTGTAATTTCAAAGATATGATAAATTCCAAAAGTTATTTAAACAATTTAATGCAATGTAGAATAAAAATAGGGGTACCAAATGAAAGAGAAAATTTCTTTAGAATTGAAAAAATTAAAAAAAAATAAATAAATTTTGAGCTGATAAAGTTAGAAGGACGAAATTCGAGGATGTTCTGGAGTTTATATAAGTCCTTAACATATAATTTTTCCAAAAACAAATATTGCGAAATTTCCAGGATAAAATTTTAAAAGGACATTTTCAATACTTACCAAAACTTATGCACCAAAGAATTTAATCTGTTTAAATTCTAAAAAATGTCCTATTTAATTTTATACCCATATTTCTACTCTAAGCACATTTCACTGAAATTTTCAAGTAATTTTGAATTACTGACGTCAGAGTGAAAAACAAAAACGCTGGTTTACTATATTTGGCCCAATGTTTCGCGAATATAATAATTTTTGGGTGTAAAATTTACTATTTATATGCATAGTGAGCTAGAAATTTATAAAAAAATATTAGTTATTAAACGTAGCCAATACTGGGAAATTCAAATTGCAAATCCAAGATTTTCCTGGGATTTTCGGGACCTAAAAAAGGCCAGGATTCCGAGATTAACATTCCTAACCAGAATACATTGATAGAACCTTGCTATTTTTGGTACTGTACAGTGTAATAAAAGCACTTTCGCTGAAGAAATTTCTAGTATAAAATGCAGCAGCTGTTAAGCACTGAAATAAAAAATAAAAAAAAACCTGCAGAACCGGATTTAGTAGACCAATTTGCCTCTCATAACCCTAACATCAATAATGAATGTCTACCAAAGGACTTTGCTAATAAAGCTAAATGTTATTAAATCGAAACCTACTATTCAGCTGTGAAAGTAAATCTTTTAGTTTTTTGCCTAATTAAAATTTTAGATCAAATTTACTGAAGGAACACCCTCATCTACTCAAATTCGCCGGAGCATAGTAAAAAAGAATTACGTGTGCGAATTGCAAACGATTATTTTGCACCACACCAGCACAAATACGCTCCACATCAAATAATGGGTTCATTAGGGTGCATCACTCTCCATTAAAAAAAATTTGGTACGGGTTTTCTATCTACAGAATCTATTATGTTTTAAGAGCTTTGCCATATTAATTTCAGAGAAATATAAGGTATTAAGTGAGCTGGACCGAAATGAAGGTACATCCAAAAATCGCATTATTTTAATTCTGTTGATAAAGTGTTCAAACATTTTCAAGCAGACCTTTTAAGATTCAACTTTTAAATCTCTTTTAAATATAATAATTTTTTTTATAATTCCGGCGGCGCCCTAGTGTTCTATAAATGTATGTATATATTCAATAATACTTATGTGCCATTTCTAATGACCATCAAACACATTGTTAACTTACCCCAACACGTCCGTTATCATATTCTCTGCTCGCTTGAATAGTCAATTTCGCTTTGGAATGCATGGCATCTGTTAGGGAATTCCTCTGATGTGAGCCCCCACCGGACGCCGAACTCAACATGGAGCCATTCGCCTTTTGCGTTGATGTTTTGCTGCGAAAGCAGAACTCGATAATGGCCACAAAGACGGCCACTAAGAGGCCACCGATCAATATATAAAATATACCAGCCACATTACTCAACGACAATTCACTGCGTGATGTCTCCTGATTGTCCTTGTTGAGGTTGCATTCCGTTTTGTCATACCACCATTTATTGCGCAATTTGATCAATTCACCATTTTCTTTCAGCGACAGCACAGCCAAATTAATCGGATCTCTGTGCGATTGTGTGGATATTAGACCAAAAAATAAATCGAATAAATTGATATGAAATACGAATGCGAATAAAAAAATAGGTTCATCGAAAGTTTGAGTTGAATGATTGCGTAGTTGTTTTTGTTGTTGGTTTTGTTGTTGGTTTGGTTGGCGAGGTTAGTTGGTCGGTTGGTTTCCAAAAAGTTTGAATGAGGTTAGTGGGTTCAAAGTAATCGGTTGGTTGGTCATTTGGTTTTATTTATTTTTTTGCCATTTTTGTTTTTGTTTGTGTGGCATTTTTCAATGTTTCGCAGTTATGATGATGATGAAGTTTTTCCACACACACACACACACACGCACATAGACATTTCGGTTTCAAGCAGTGATGAGTGTACCACGATGAGATGAGTTGAGTTGAGTTGAGTTGGTGGCATTGATGTTGTTGTCCAAAAATTGTATGTCCATATTATTCCGAGTGGCAGCAGGCGATGAGAAAAGAGAAAACAAAGAAGAGAATACAGCATAATGAATAACCAGAATAACCAAGCAGACAAGGTTTAATTGTGTTGAAAACAAGCAAGAGCAGCAAGAGCTGCAGCAACAACAAACAAAAAAAAAACAGAATTTGCTGCATGAACCGATGAGCAGTTTCCTAGAAAGTTTGGTAGTCGTCAATGGTGCCATGTGGAAGGCGTCCATTTCCCAGTATATATGTATATTGCTACACGCACTACACAGCCAAGCATTCATTACACATCACATAGCGCATATCTATGTATGTTATGTATGTATGTATACATACTTACAAGCGAAAATTTTAATAAAGAAATTCCTATGGCATACATTGTATACCGTTATGCTTGTTGCCTTAATTGCAGACTGGCGTGGTTCCTGTTGCTATTGGCAGCTAGTCAACAGTCAGGCTTTGATGTTTGTTGGTGGCCATGCGTGCGGTTGTGGCAAAAGACGCGTTCGCTGTTTATATAAATGTTCGAGCGAACATTTACTACATAAATATGTGTTTGAATGTAAATATTACGCACTCTGATAAATGCAGAAATATGCCTGATTGTAAGCGATTTAACTAAAAGGTGCAGAACAGCGGAAAAAATTAAATTTTAAAGGCCAACATTTTTGTAGTTTTCAGGTATGTAGGGATAGCTCAGAAAAACTTAAAGTTTAAAGAAATACCCTTATGCTCGGGTGTAGCCCAAAAATTATATGTTAAAATATCTGGTGTGTGTAAATTAAACCAATAAATTTCGTTTTTTGTAATAAAAATTGTATAAAACCAGCACCTTTATTTTTCTGTAGATCATATTATATAATAAAATATTGAATAAGGAAAACACCAACGACTTTTTGGGAATCTTAGAGTAAGAAGGATGGCTAAATGAAAAAATTCTCAGGGTGGGATTTGTGAACCCTAGTACTGAATGAGTTTCTGGTTCATTTTAGCTTACACCCATCACGTTTGTGGCATTTTTAGATGATCTGGTTCCTCTCGTTAAAGGAAAATTCATGTCAGTAATCAGTTATCTAGCCGAGAAGGTAAATCTACTCAAAACTAATTGGTACTGCTTAAAAAACGCCAAAAAACTACTCAGTTTAAGATCATCATCACTAAATCGTGCAAGCGTAAAACTATCGAAAGAGGCAGAGTTTTTGGGGTCATTCTTGAATCTGGAAAAGGCACGTCAAAGAACAATGAAGAAAACATCTTAGAATCTTATATTTAGAAGATTTTGATTGCAATCAGTTTGATTGTAAGAATGTTTGATTTGTATTATTTTGCTACAAATACAACAAATCGTGAATTAAGTGCTTTATTTACGAAAAATGGAACATAATATGAATTAAAAATTTTCATTGATTGAGTGCTTAAATCATGATTGGAAATAAATTTCTGGTAAATGATTGTAAATTGAAATCCAAAAATTTTACTGATTGCAAAAAAAAATAACTGAAATTTTTTACAGCTCTACTCAATGCGCTGAGGTCCTTAATGACTAACTTTATATACTGTGGTGAATGTTGAGAAGTACTACAATTATCTACAGAATCTATACTGGATCTCCAAACAAGATGGTATCTTGAGGAATGAAGAAATGGGCGAGTGCGTGAGAAAAGGCTATGCTCCAATACTATGCGCAGAGATTTCATCATTCTACCCCTTCAGATGTTCCCGGTTGGAAATGTGTTTGCCAGGTTTGCAGCCACGTTAAGACGCTTATGTGAAAGTGTAAAATACAAGAAAGTGGCCTTCAAATTAAACTTTACAAAGGAAGATTTCCGTCAAAATTACATAAAATTCTAAACTATTAAATAATCAAATTGACAGTGAAATTCTGGCTAAGTTAGTAAAAAGTCTTTCGTAAGAAAAAAATGAGCGACAGGTGGCAAGATAGTTCGAAAGCCTTTTGTTATTCTAGTTCAAAAGTCTTAGAAAAAAAGCTCTCTCATTCACCTCTAGTGGTGAAAAGCTATTGTGAGCACTTGTACATCATTTAGCTGGAGTCACTACAACAGTCGCAATGGCCGAGTGGGCCCAGCACAGGCATGCCAATCGAGAGACCCTAGCTCGAGTCCTGTTGCAGCGAATTTTTATTTTTTTTTTTTTTAAACTATATTTTTACTTATTTAGTTTTTCAGATTTTTTAGTTGTGGAGAGGATATACATATGTATATACTTTTTAATTTAAATAAATTTTTCAGAAACTTATTTTATGATTTTTTTGCACTTGCCTGCCTGCCTAAAGTACGATTACCCGTATGCCATGGCGTATGAGTTACCTATGAACAACGAAATTTAGTTCGGTTGAAAAAATTCAAATTTTTCTGTTTATTAATTTACTTTTGCGTAGGGAAAGGGGGGGACTTGCCGAGCTGTTCTTTTGGGCACAGATGTACAAATATGTAGATCATTTTTTTGTTTGGATTTTTACATTTCTGTCGGTAAGTGGGTATTAAAAAATTTTAAGTTTCATCTTGGAAACTTTATAGGAGTATCTCCAGATTTCCCTAGAGAAAGGTATCTCAATAATATTTACCTGAAAAATAAACAAATTGACATAAGGCAAAAGTTTCCCTTACCCTATGAATACCTGTATACTTCATACACACATACATGCGCAGCCTTTTTTCTTTCAAATAACAATATGTACCTCTACTCAGGATTACTTGCTGCTCTTTGCTTATTTTCACCGACACCTCTTCACCCTTTTTACCACATAATTTGACAGTATTCAATACAACTATGCACGCCTATACACTCACCTCAACGGTGATCCGATTGGCGTTGCGATGCCAAATCCTTTCGTATCCAGATTACGGCCGACTTTCATCGTATCGCATGGTTCCCTGGCATTTACGTATTCATTCTTTGGTGATTCCATCAATAGTGCATACTTGCCTTTTGACGTACGCACCCGACGTATGCCTTCATCGTAAGTGCTCACAAAGACATGCTTGCGCGAATTCATGTATTCCCACATTTTATTATGTAAGCCGATTTGGGATCTCTGCGGAAAAAATGAAAGTGAAAAAGAAAAAATATTTAAAATAAAATAAAATTGAAATAGATTTACATGCATAACAAATTTATATACATACATACATATGTACATACACACGTGCTGATTCATTATAAATATATTATGTGTACAAAAATTCATATGTAATACTCGTAGCAAATATGTAGATCCTTTTAAATATTTATGTACATTAGGGTGCCTCACTAAAAAAAAAAATGCGGTTTTGATACCGGAATTATAAAACCTATTATATTTTAGGACTTCCGCCAAAATATTTCGGAAAAATATTAAGATTCACATGAGTTAGACCGATTAAAAATATCTCAAAAATCTGTTTATTTTGATTCCGTTTGCAAAATTTTTTAAAAATTTGTATGTAGCTTAAACTGTTTTATCACTGCAGGTGATTTTCTGAAAAAAAAATTATAATTCATTTTATTTATAAAACACTCGATATTTGGATTCATATTCAAATCGGTCCAGCAATATTTCCCTTAAATACTTTAACCGAAGTCCTAATTAATATACGATAAGTTTTATAGTTCCCATGCAAAAAACAATTTAAATTTTTTTTGTATGGAGAGTGATGTACCCTAAAGTACATCTACCGATATGAACCTATACATGTACACATACATATATACAAATAAAAATAGGCATGCATAAAACGCCATTACGCCCGTACCCAAGCACCATGAAATGGTACTTTACCATGGATGTGTGCATTAACTCAAAAACATATTTATGTATGAACATATGCATGTGTGTAGGCCTACATAGTAAAGCATATGCCTACTTTAACATACGGAAGTCGGAAAGAATGGCTGCTGAAAATTGCTTTTGTGACGCCGTGTAGCTTTTGCCAAAAAGAGCTGTTGGGGCGAAGAATTTGTAAAAGGATCTTAAAAGTGTTCGGTTGGCCACAGCGGGGGTGTCTTGTGTGGCAGAACGGAAATATTTGGAAAAATTCGTAGAATTTTAATAAATCGCGCAAGTATTGTATGCGGATGCTGATAATTTTCTTCCTATTTTTTTGCTGATACCTTTGTGTGGGCACTCCATGCGTGGATGGCGTCGAAAATTCAATTAAATTAATAAATTTTCCTGCATGATGAAATATGCGAGATGCTTACAAATAGTTCCCTCCAACTAAAGTTGCTCGAAGGAAGTACCCGTAGCTCAAATTGAGTATGGAATATTTCGTACAAATACAGAAGATTATCGAAAGTTCAGTTTATTGCTAGAACGTGTGCAAGGATTTATTGAGCTTTTGTTCGAAACTATTTTCAATTACGAGTTTTAGTTGCTACTTGATATGCAACTACATATTTAACGGCACGCTGCTGACTTTCAACTATAAGTCTGCAGAACCCTTATAAAAAGGCTCTGATAATCCTTAATGTATCTTTAGAGAGACTAACTAATTTGAAGCCCAGTACTTTTTAGATTTTACCATCCTAGTATGCGTTTCGTTTACCAACGCCTTTTGGTGCTTTTCTCTCATTCGAATACGCTAACCTCTTTCCTCATCGTGTTTGGACCGGCGGCAAGAAATGGCTTAGCTTTGTGGGAGTGGAGGCCGCAGCCTTCCGGGCTAAGCTGTCGTCTATGATCTGGTGCTCAACGCGGCTGAATGTCACTGTATTCAAGCACGTTAAGCATCTCAATGAACTCAGGAATTATATCTCATTTAACCCCAAAAGACAATAGAGCCTTTAGTGCTGCCTAATCTTATTAAGGATAAAGATCGACTAAAGGCGTAGACCTTCGCTTGACAAATTTCCCATAGACAATCATCGTCTCATTATGGACCCAACGCTGGCTGAACCAATGACTTCTATGATTTTAAAGCCGTCTGTACATAACGGCAGAGTGCTAGACGCATCAACTCGATTCTTCGCCTGAAGTAAGAGGAGGTGGGCAGAACTCCCTAATGTTACAAAAAATTATTTTCTAATAAATCAACGGCACTCGTTTAAGGGACTACGATTTGAGGGTTAGCACCTGAAGTGTTCAGATCTTTAATTTGGAAGGATCCTCTGTTTGGTTGGCTGATGCCTTCGCTATGATAAAGTTTAGATCCGTGGCTTTCAAAAAATTTGCGGGGCCCAACAAGGGAATGAAAGCAAAGAACATTGCGATGTATAGTTCTGCTGTCACAAGAACAGGGGAGCCTATTTTAGCATCAAGGCGAGATTCTTGGAGTGGACTTACGATTGCTGCGCCCATTAAGATATCAAAATCGTGGCAGGCGATTCAAATGATAGGGTGGGAAAGGATGGGATCTTTGGTCCCACCGTTAGAAAATTTAGCCTCCATGACGAACAAATCGTACCTCAACGGCTTTGCCAGGGCCTTTAAAGAGGTGTTCCTTAGCAAAGGTGCATGCATTAATTATTTAGAAGGATATGATCGGATTATCGGATCGGTTTCAATAAGCGATTGTTCTTCTGTGGAGCATCGCGTGCAAGTCTGTATAAAACGCACGGTGTGAAAGGCTAAAACCCACCCAACAGATTGAACTTTCTTGGTGTGTCTTTAGAACTGGTAAATCTATCATTCACCATATTCTTGGAAGTGACCCGTGATAGGATGACCGACTATCTGTTTGTCGAGTTTGAAGGCAGTCTCCATATTTCCGCGAAACTAACACGGCTGTATAAAATGACTTTGAGCAAAACCACCAGCTGCGTCAGAGTTCAGAAAGACCAATCTGAGTCTGTTCTGCCTTTTCACACATTGGTAGCGTGTGGGTATGGAGGGGAAGGAGGAAAGACGAAATACTTATTGTCTTAGCGCAAGGAGTTAATACTGATGACATTTCCTGGCCCGCAGACTACTAAGCATCTACTTTGAAACAAGTGCTACTGTAGAGTCACTCATTGTGCTCTGCAGAAGCATAGATCACATAGCATGTGGCAGCTTTTCGAGTGTTCGAGAAAAGGTTTGCTCGTTGGTGACGGCGGTACAGCAGACGAAGGAGCGTATGAGCTTTACAAGTACATACACATAGTTCAGCGAATTAAAATAAATTTCGTACGAATGAACAAAAATTCTCCAGGCCTGCAAGCATTCGACGCGGATTCCGCCGCTGGCTGCAGTTACGCTTTGCTTAGCATTTCCAGTTGGCGTCTTTTGCTACAGAAGCGAAATAAATGTCGTGCTTTATTGAACTCACCTAAAAATTGCTTAAATGCTGGCAGCGCCAAACAAGAAGACGAACCTATTTGGGAGAATTAGATATCCCTAATTGTTAAGCTATGCAGTTACCTTAGTAGACTGAAATGTATATAAAACAATTTTAATTTGGACCGAGTTTACGGGTAATTATTTCTCATAAACTTGTGTTTGTATACCGAAAATCTATGCGCAGTCACTTTGCATATTCATCACACTTTGAAATATTAAACTAGAGTTTGCAAACTTTTCACAAAATTTAAATACATACATTTATATCTAACAATAAATTTAAATGTAAGTATGTAAATCGCACGCAAGCTTTGTAGTAGACTGCTTCACGGCAAGACCGCGCTATGAATGATGGCTCTCAAAAGTATGCCACAAAAAATCATTGACGTTTGAGTGGCATGCACTGCAATTATTTTTGACAGTCCACAGCTGGAGCTGCAACCAATAGCAGCACATAAATGAACATAGTGGATAATAACCAAAAAATCCACGGACACAGTATCTATGTATATGAATAACAACATATGAATGGGGGCCGCTAACCAATAAAACTTGATTTTGGTGCTGACATTTGAGAGATGAAAAGTAAGTTGAAAAAGTGGTACGTTCCATACATGCGAAAGTGTGTAGTGGGAATTTTCCCCTAATCCGGTCCAATCGGCTCGCCAACTTCCGATTTGAAAAGGCATTTACTAATTTGACTGGAGTTTGATATAGCAAGTTCAGCTGAGTACAAGTGATGCTCACAATAAATGTTAGATATCAGACACTATGGAAGCATATACATACATACATACATATATATCTGCCTTCTGCAGCGAATTTGTATTTGAATGTAATTTAGAGCTTCTTTTTGGACCTTCATAGCTGTAGAAATTTACAGCCAGTTTCAGGTGAATTACTGCAACAAAAGAGTTTCCCTCGGCAAGCTAAAATTCGAAATGAAGCGAAGAGTTTTCATTCATAATATTTCAGGGTAGCTCAATGAAATATAAGAATAGTTTTCCAACTTCATTTTGCATAGAGAAAGTGCATGCTAGAATTTAAGTGGATGTTCACAGCTAGAGGGTCCTTTTCGCTGCAGTGTTTTTGCCATATTCAGATTTCTATAAGACCACTCGCATCCACTGTGTTACTTGCATCAATACCCAATGCACAACATCATTTGCTCATCCTCAGTTTTCAACACTGCCACAACATCGTTTTTATTTATGTGCATCTCCTGGCGAGCATACGACACACAGATGTGCCACATCAGTTGCCTATATACTACTCCCACCCACAAAGATTCAGCTCAAATGCTGCTGTCTGCTGCAGTTTGTCTGGTACGTTGTCATTTGTGCTGACAACCAGGCTCAGTTCACTTTCATCAAATTTTATATTTTTCATATTTTTTTCGTACTGGTATTGATTTCAGGCAATTACACGACATGACAGCGTAAATCAATCAAAGAAAAATTTTATTACTGCAACTTTCAGAATCAGAAACAGAATCAGAATCGTCAGGACTAAAGTGCTTCGAAGACTTGGAAAGTCGAAACTTTTTTTATTTTTATTTATTTTTTGGTATTCTTGATTGTAGCAAAATTCTCTTGGCAAAAAGATGCTTTCATACTCAGCAACATGTGTGTGTGTGTGTGCACATCAGTGCAAGCTTAAATTCAAAGAAAAAATTCAACTCGTCGTCGTCGATGTGTGTGTGTGTGTGGAAGTCACATCACAAATTAATCAAATGTGTCGGAATATCAAAAGTCAGCAGCATACATCGATAAAATTAAATTTAACAAGCAGCTGCACTA